CCCTGTGAACGGGGTTGGTGGGTGAGAAGGTGGCGGCTGCTTTGTGTGAAGGCCACTGGCCATGGTGTGGGGCGCAGGAGCTGAGCTCCCCAGTGCCGGGACCCGGTGCCCGGTGTGTAACGCACAACTGCTGAGTGCAGCCCCGTGGCTGTGGGGAGGGTGAGTGTATGGGGCTGGCCACGGTGAGGCTGAGCTCCTGCCCTTGGGGAAGCTGCTGTGGGGTGAGTGTGTGGTTTGCACCCCCGGCTCTGCCCTGGCCATGCCCGTGACTGCTGCCCTGTTCCGGTGCCTTTCCAGCCCTGCTGGCTGCGACCCGCCGAGTGTCAGCTCTTGCTGCCCTAGCACAGCCGGGCCGGCACGCTCCCCCCTCTCCCCCCCTTCCTGCTGGGTGAGCTTCATGCCAAAGTCCTGTCTTATCTCGCCTCTAAACTCTGTGCTGTGCCTTCCCACAGCCTGCACCAGAGCTGCCAGTGCTGGGTGATGCAGTTTGGGATCTGTGGGAGCAACGAGTGCTGGGATCTCTCAGTGGGCCCAGAGCTGACCCCGCTCTATGAGGGGGCCTCTGGATGCAATTCCTGCTGCTGCAGCCCCTGCACTTGCCTCTGCATCCCACACCCTGCTCACAGCCCCAACCCATGCTGAGGCACCGGTGCAGGCTGCCTGTCTCAGGTTCTTTGCTGCTGCACCCAGCAGCAGTGTGGTGTGTGAGCTGGTGCTGCTGGGGCTGGCCTTCGAGTAGTAGTTCTTTGTCACTGTAGAGATGGAATAAACTTTTTCACCTCGCCCCCCTGCACCTCTCTTCTCTGGGGAAGCAAAGCGGGATTCCCCCTCCTCCTCTCCCCCAAGGGCCAGGGCCTCCAGGCAAGGGAGCAGCTCCAGCCAACTCCTGCACTGCAAACAGCACACTCATGCTGGGTCTATTTTTAGTCTGTTTGGTAAGTTTGGGCTCCAGCACAGGCAGCTGCTGCAAGCAATCAGCCCATGCTGGTCCCTGCAGGGGAGCCTGTTCAGACCACTCGTACAAAACACACACAGAAATGCATTAAGTTATTTATTAAAGTTAATTCATTACGTTATTTACTAAAAGGGAAAGCCCAGGCCTGGCACTCACACAGTTGTGTGGGCTGCAACTGTTACCACCCCAAGTAATGCAGAGGGACACGGGCTTATCAGATGATCTTATAACCTCATAACCTCCTGACTGGTGGATGCAGGAGGAGAGCACTGCATTGCACATGCAGATGTCAGCTGGCCAGAACCAAGAGCTGCTGCTTGGAGCTTGTGAGCACTGGCTTAAAGGTAAAAGCACTTTTGGAAGGAATAAGGAAGAAACCCCAAACCTTCCAGAAAGCCAAAAGTCAAACAAAGGGGAAGAGGATCCTTCAACCAACCTGCAGCAGAGGAGGAATCAGCCTCGAGAAATTTCAGAGGACTCAGGAGGCAGAAACATACATGACTAGAGCTGAGAACCACTCACCCAGAGCAGAGACCCTTCTCCGAGTCCCTGGGTCTCCACAGGAACAGCAGCCCAAACCTCGACAGGTTAAGTCCTGAGCCTCCAACTCCTTCACAGGTAACAGCACCGAAGGGGCAGCACCGAGCTCGGCCCTGAGCAAAACTGCCCTGACTTTGGAGAAGAGGCTCTTCCAAGAGTCTCTTCCGAAAGGACCCTGTCTTAATAGAGACTACTGCTAGACTAACACTAGTAGGAGCCTGCTGTCAGGCTGCCAGTCACCCTGCCCTTCCCCCTCCTGTTTCAACAAAGATTTACAGTACAGTTACATCAAGAGCGTAACATCAAAGGGATGAGCCACATTCAAAGGGAACGCTGAGAGCCAGGCTGAGGGACGGGTTATCCCCTTGGACTGTGTGGAAAAGGGAAGTAGGTTAAAACCACAGTTACTGTACATTGTGTCTTAAGAAACCTGGGATTTAGCAACAGGGCACCAGAGAGAAACAGTTGCATTTCCAGGTGAGGAACCAGCCACCAGAGCCAGGCTGAGCCCATGCCCAGCCCAGGAGAGTGGCCGGAGCGACAGAAGCCTGCGGCCCAGCTCCTGTGACAGGGTTCCAGGGCCTGTTTGGTGGCAGCACCAGTAGCTACACCCATCCTTTTCTGTGTTCTGAGACAGGAACTCCCTTCGAGCAGGCTTCTGTGTCAGGTGCGGCTGATCCTCTTCCTTCCTGTGCCCGGAGCAGGGGAGCGGCGGGGGCTTTGCAGGGGGCACTGGGGCAGTTCAGTTCTGCTAAAGCAGAGGGAGCCGGAGCACCCGGAGCTGCAGCGTTCAGCTGCCTTCCTCTCGGCCTCCCCCACGTGGGAGCCCAGCACTCAAGAAGCGAAGATCTTGCGGCAGG